GATTAATTTCGAGTGGCTGCAGTTTCAACACAAAACATATCGGTCCATTTTCTCTTACTTATTTTCATCTACTCGCGGCGGTTTCCTTGTCGCTGATTATATCTCTAACTTTGACTGCTTTTTTTTCGGTACGTATTATACGTTTTGTGATGGCCAGGGACGGCAAACGCTGCGACTCGTTCTGGTATGTATTGGTTTTTCTTTTTTCGAGGAAGATAACATTACACCACGCGCCAAAAATATAGTATCTACGGCATTGTTAAGAGTTCGTTAATGTCTAGTGTTAATTGTTATCTGATTATTGTGTTTTTTTTGTGTTTTTTTTTTTTTGCTTAGTTGGATTGTTTTTTTATTTATGGAGTTAGTTATCAAGCGCGCTTTTAAGCTAATAAGAACTTGGAACTACGTAACAAAAGAAAAGTGCCTGCAAATGCTCTATGCCATTTTTTTAATTTTTTTAATAAAGAGTAAGCTTGTAGAGGAGTGAACTTGCAAAGTCACGAAAAAAACTTTTGTTTAAAAATCATCAGCAAGTTCGTCCAGTGTGGCTAGCATTTTTTATCTCCTTTCCTCTTTTTGTGCCACATTCCTACAAAGAAGCCTCAATGATTTAATTTGAGATTACCTCTCGCCAGGACATGGCGAAATAAAAAAAGTAAAGTAAACCTTAGAATTCGCCGCCGTCTTGAATCGCGGAGCTTCCGGTAGGCGGGAAAGCATTGTTTTGCTCTCGGCACTGCACTGGGAGAAGCTCAAGTTTTAATCGCGACTCACTGGCATTCTTGTTTTGCCTTTTCTGTATTCTTTTACTTGTTCCAGGTTGTAATGCCTCGCATTTTCGTTCATCCCGCATACCGAATTTGTCAACAAGTGTGCGGCTGGGGACGAGGGTAAACGAAAACGGTCTATAGGGGGCACACTAGTTAACATCAAAAATATCAAAATGACTGTCTTCTGGATGATCGTCGTAGAGCAGCAGTGCAACGTTGGGGCTGCGTCGTTCGAGTATTTTTTATTTTCTGAAATACGAGAGTTATTTGAACGTCTTGACTCATACTTCCACGTCCGGAAGGTGTAACCAAGCACCTTAATTCTCAATCCGATCATTCAGGGCGCGTGTGTGTCCGCTGCCTTGGCTGGATTACGTGTTAACACATCCATCGAGCCAGTACATCCACCGAGCCATTACATCCATCGATGGATGTAATGACACGGTGGATATACTAGCTCGTTGGATGCGTTGACATGTGTATGGATGTAGCTGCTCGATGGATGTAGTTGCTCGTTGGATGTAGTTGCTCGATGGACGTAGTTGCTCGATGGATGTAATTGCTCATCCTTCCTGTTACGACGTCATAGCGCGCCATTACATCCATCGTTCTAGCGCATCCATAGAAGGCAAGATGGCCGCCACTGGGCTGTTTACGTTATTCACATTCTTATGTGGAGGGCAAGTTCGTCCTTCTTTTGCAGGGGTTGTGGTGAGGTCAGAACGCCGAGCTCTGAGTGGTTCTGAATGAAGGATAGTGGACAGACCTCAAGGCAGCTTGACTTAAGGTACCCACTATCCTCCATTTAGAGCCAATCAAAGTTCGGCGTCGTTCTGATGTCACCGCAACACCTACTCAAGAAGCGTACGAGTTGCTCTCTGCATTGGTTCGGGTTCCACATTCAGAGAACAAACGATAATCCCCAGAACGTTAGTATATCACAATTTAATTCTATAAGACATTCAGATTTTTTTCTCAAAGCGAAATAAAAGGTGTGATTCTGTGTACCGTTCTAATTCTATATAAAGTTTATATTTAGTTAATTTTGTTTCTGAAAAAAAGCAGTAACCAATGTTTGATCAATGTGGAAACAATAAACAATGCGCCGACGATGCGTGTTCGACTTTGGAAACGCCGAGGGCCGCAGAAAGTGCATGACGCACAAAGGGTCCTTGTACTCGCGTTTGTACGGTCAATTTAGCGTGTAACTTTCAAAAGAATGTAAACTATTATACAGCATACTTAAACGAAGAAATAAGCCTACGTGATTGATGGATGTAATGGCACGTTTTGAACGAAGCTGCTCGATGGATGTGATTACACGATGGATGTAACGGCACAATGGATGTAATGACACGCTTTTGGACGAAGTTGCTCGATGGATGTGATGGCGCGGCGGATGTAATGGCACGGTGGATGTAGCGGCATGATGTATGTAATGGCACGTTGGATGAACTGGCCAGAAATGGATGTAATGGCACGATGGATGTGCTGGCAGTATGGATGTAAGGGCACGATGGATGTAATGGCACGAAATTGGACGTAATCGGTCGATGGATGTAATGGCACGATGGATGTGTTGGCCGCAAGCCCCTTGGCTGTTGGCACCGTCTGGGTAAGAATTTTCACTTCGCGCACCGAGTGCAAGGCCATGTGCTGACTAATGTGCAGAGGTTTCAAACTCATGTGAGTGTTGGGGCCAGATATAGCCCACTCGAGATAGGTCAAGGGCCGACGTATGCCTGGGGAAGGACGGGGGGAGGTTGAGATATTTGATTTCGTGCACTCTACTTTCTGTAATCTTTCAGTTTTGCCCATATTTTAAACTGGCACCGCCCTACTATCGTGCTGGCACTATAAAAGGAAAAAAAAAAAGAGAAAGGAATCTGCCGTTCCCGTTGGTCGATTCATACGAGAATGAATCGACCAAGCTGAAGATTCATACGAGAATCTTCAGCTCATAGCTTTATCTTTGACAGTTTTTCCTGCTGCGAAAAGGAGATCATGCAGCCGAGGGTGCGTCCTTAAGCTAAGAGCACGCAGTTGCAGCTGATAAAAACAAAAAAAATCATGGCGGTATAGATTTTGCGCTAGATTACCCTAGCATGAAAAAAAAATTGTTGTGAACGTAAGTACACTCGCTGCACGCTTTCGCCTGACCTGTATTATATATTAGAAGTGAACAACCATATTAAGATGTTGATGAATGCACGTGCGAAGTGCCATTTGTATTGGATTATTATTTTTAGTATAGTTACTGCTGCAGAAGGCAGTGCGCGCAGCGCGTGGAACTATACACTCGCGCACTTTCCTTGAACTTCAATAATCTAGCAAAAAGTATATTGCCATACATGTGGTTTTAACATGACAAAAAATAAAATGAAAGACGTTTACGATTCCCTGTTATTATATTAGCGAAACATCGGCCGCCTTCTGAGGCTTTCAGTAGACTTCGTTTTTATTTGGTTTACCAACCTCTGCTAATTTTGTGTTTTGTTTTAACCTTAACGTGTTTTTCTTTTCCGTGATGTGATTGCTGTACGTATACATTGCGTGGCGCAGTGGAGGAAGACATCGGCGCTTCCTCGCACTTTTCTCAGACTATTAAGGAACCCCAAGTTTTATTGCCGCCGAAGTGTTTGCGCACAGCCTAGCGCACGAGTTGAGATGACGACGCATGCAGTCAACCCAAAGAAGCAGTCGCCGATATATATATATATATATATATATATATATATATATATATATATATATATATATATATATATATATATATATATATATATTAGAATTGAAAGGCTGTCATCAAAATTACTCGTGTGATGAAAAGTGCTCACACTGTACCTCCAGCCTGACCTTTAAAATTTGGTGATCGTCAATACCCTAACTGAAATACGAAAATGTGTCCATTTCATGGTCGCGTCGTTTCGCACAGTGTACCTGCTTTTAGTTTCAGTTGAACAATAAAAATACGGAAAACTTCCGGTGAGTTGTTCATCCTAAATCTGTTCAGTGTTTTGAGCCCACGTGAAGTTAGTGCTAGGTGTCCTAGGATTAACTTCACGTAAGCTCAAAACGCTACAGAGTTACGACGAACTAACCGCAGGTTTTTTTCCTATTTGACACTAACAGAATAAATATCTGACGTGTTTAATCACGTCTGTTATATATACGTATTTCTTACGTCGGGCTGCATTTTGGAACGTTGTGGTAATAATAAGTTCTTTGTTTTCTTCTAGTAAATATTTAATTATGTTACGACCTATGGTAGTCAGAGATGATTAGCATCTGGATTAATAAATCTGGGAGAAAAGGACTTCTAAACGGTATTAATATTTGATGTAGTTATGTTACGCATTAGAAAAAAAAAGAAAAGCTTATTAAGGATACGTGACAAAAATCTAAAATTTCGACGTGAAAAATATACGTATAATGACGATGTTACGACGGTCGCCAAGCGTGCTTGAGCGTGAAAACAAAAATTAAAGTAAACGACGTTTTCGTCCGAAGGAAGGGCACTTGGCTAATCCTAGCTTGACGGCTCGCCAAGGAAATGAGGACAAAACAAAAGAGGAAGACAGCTAGGGTGGGCTACAAAGGGAGGGAAGGCAATCGCACGCTTCTCCTGGCACCAGCGAAGCGCGATCCCACCCGTCATGCCTCATGTGTAACCATTACCATGGTTCCATCTGTAAGCTGGTAGCAACACCAACCGACAAATACTAGTAGTTAAATCCTTGGAAATTTGATTATTAATAAAACGGAGGAGGCAAAAAGTGTTTACAAAAATTGGGGGAGGGTCGTCTTTTCTTTTGCGACTGAACAATACCTCTACAGAGTGTGATAGAAGCCTAAGTCTGCCCATTTAATTGACATTTGGTTTTCTAGTGCTGGAGCACAGGGTGGCACGGGTTCCAGCATACCGTTTCTGGTGCGCTTTGTAGGCCTGAATCGCGGGACCGCTCTCTATTCTCGTCCGTGCAATCGTCGCACCTCCCCGTCTAGCTCATCATTGCACAGGGCACGGACCTCCCGTTTCGTCCTCTTTTTCTTGGTGTTTTACCCCTAAGAGGAATGAAATAAAATATAGTTTATTCGCGGAAGAGTGGAAACAAAGTGGGCTGGCATGTGCGAAAGCAGAACCCGCTTGTGTCTAGGGCCAGGCGACCAGCAAAACCAAGCTGCCTTATTAGGCATTTCAATTGACCGCGTTAATCGTTTCCGGCGCAGCTACCTGGGCCGGAAGAGGCTGTCCGGTGCCAACGAGCCGTTTGTGAAGGGCAGCCAGAGCGTGGTGCACGTGGACTACTCGTACTGGACCCTCTGCTACGCGCTCACGCTTGCCGGGGCCCGCAAGCTGCTCGACGCCCAGCCGCTGTCCAAGATGGTGCCCGTGGACGAGTACCTGCCCATCATGTTCGACAAGCACCCCGAGTATGGACGCCTTTAGTTATTTGGTCGCGTAATCTGACTTTTAGGGCACGGAAGCATTGAAGGGGCACTCAAGTGTGTGGTCGGTTTGCCTTGCTGCATACCCGACCCGGAGGAACAACACGGAGCCAACGGTTTTTACAACACATTTAATGGGACATGGACATGTTCATTAAATGGATTAACATGGTTACCAGCGGCGCCTGAGTCCAGGCAGCGACTCTCTGTGCGCCGCCTCTAATGCGCCTTATCAAGGCGGCGCACGCGATGTGCGCATGGCTGGCGTGACGTCGCCGCCACGCGGGAAAAGTTCGGCACCTTTGCCTCGCAGTCGGGCAACTGGGCTGGGGAGCCGCCAGGGTGCCCACAAGTGTTTTCTTAGATCGCCTAGTTCTGGTGATAACCGGTTGTCTGGTTGCCGCCGTAGCTCATAGATTGCGGTAGCTGTCCAGAACGTTGTGTCGAGATTTATTTGTCCACGGACACAAAACTGGGAAAACTAGCCCTTAACAGCTCCGCTGTAAAATATTGTGTTTTGTTTATATAACGCAGGGGCGCTAAAATACCGGATTCACGCACAAAAAAAAAAGAAGAAACTAATACAAGGTCCTATCTTAGATTTCCAAATTACCACTTTAGCCCAAGTTTAATAGACCTCTTTTTATGTATATATAAAAAAAAGAAGTCAGACAAGTTCTGTTCGAACTTTGGCAACGGGAGTTCAAGAAGATTGCTTACATTACGCGCCCTCCACTTCGTAAACCGAAGGCGCCGTACGTGGGTCAATTTGTGGAAATAAGGTCCCTGTCGCCTGCTCTATCATTTCCTAGATCTTCCGTTTCCCTGGTGTGTGGGGAAAATTCGTATTTTTCCGCCATTAGAACGTCCGCTCGGGCCCCGAGCAGAGTGGATAGATTATCTGAAAGGGAACCATTGATTTACGTTTCCTAGCCCTCCTGCTCCCTGTTGAGGTTTTCCCCTTTGTTTTAGTCTCAAAACAATCGATGAGCGGGGTCTGCTGTTGGAGAAGCGAAAAGTGTTAAAATGACTGTTTTGCTCTCGACATTGGTATTGGATAGCCTGCTGCCGCCTATGTTAAGCATGCTTTGAGGCAAGTGCCTAAAGCAAGGTCTTGCCTAAAAAGTAAGAAATAACTAAAAATATTTTTTTAATACAAGTTTCGTCTGTAAAACAGATCCGTTTTTCTTTTCTTTTTTTTCTTTTGTAAGATGGTGGTTTTTATTATTTCGCCGGGGTTCTGTGGATACGCGCTTGGAATCGAGATGGAGGAGCAAATTTGCTGCTAACGAAGCTGCCATCCGCTTTGCTTTGTTTCTATCCGCAATGGTAGTGTGTGGGCGTCACGTTGCGCCACATTTGCTGTTTTTGTGTTGCGTTCTATTACTTAGCTCATAATGGAATGAAACTTCGCTGAAGTCGGATCGTTCCTTCGCACGTTTTACTAAAGAGACAGAGGCAGACAACGCGGAAACAAAATTTTGTTCTGCGGCAGAAATAAACATTTGTTCTGTCTTGTAATGATTTCGTTCTCTTTCTGGATACAAGCATGAAAGTTGAAAGGAATCGAGTCGCGGGCGGAACATCACATGGACATTAGAACTTTCTTGTCCATATTCGCGTCTTCGTTTCACCGACAGTCCCAGTACCTTTAAAGAGATTGTACCTGTCTTAAGTACTCTACTCAATATGCTGTATTTCAAATACTTTTGGTTGCAATTCGATCTTTCGCCAATACATATTATCGAGAGTATTTTCCACTTTATTTTAATTGCATTTCTCAGTATCTTGTACTTCTTACCTAAAATACATTTCTTACTCTATTAAAAAATTTGTCGCGGGTATATTTTACGCGAATGGGGCTCGGCACACCCCAGCGCAAAGCTGAGTCGATTGCAAACTTGAAGCGGAAACAGTCAGACACAGAACGAAAAATAAATATGGGCCAAAGTAGAAGAAATAGAAGGAAATTAGAAAAAAAAATATAAACAATGACAGTTCTTTTTTTTTCTTTTTTTTTGTATTCTGTTTTACTTTGTTACGGCTAGCTTGTCAGCTTCTTTCGAGATAACTGTCTGGGGGGAGGGGGGGAGGAGGGAGTAGCTAGCTCTACTTTGAGCCTTCCATGAGGAGGTAGATTATAACAGCGAGGCAGGAAACAAGCTAGGCGCCGGGTAATCCCTCAAAATGTGGAAACAAAGAGTTCTCCCCAGGTTGTATGCCCTTTCTGAACGCTCTTCTTAATATGAGAAACAAGCAAAGAGGTTGACAACCACGAGAAAGACAGGAAGGCTTCTCTGTACGATTAGTTAAACGACGAGTCCGAGGTGTGCGTTATAAAATCACCGCAAGATGGGATTTCCTGCTATGTGGCTATGGCTTGAGCGACCTACTTTCTTTTTTAACTTTTGTAACATGCACCAGTGTGATGCTACTCCTAGTACTGGACTGCATAGAATCGATTTTGTTTTTTGTTTCCGCTGCTCGCAAATGTAACATTCTAGTGTCACTGCAGACTACACAAAATTACGCGATGCAGAAGTATCCTCAAAAGTAATTAAATTACGTTCCGCAGTATTTGTATTCTACTCGGGTACATAGCCAGGATTTTGTTTTGGAGGGGGAGGGGAGGGGGAGGGGAGGGGCCAGCCCTTGACAAAATGCTGTATGAGGGGAGGGGGAGAGGAGGTCCCAGCAAAATGAAAGATTTCGGGGGGGGGGGGGGGGGGGGGAGGACGGGAATCATGCCCCCCTCCCCCCCCCCCCCTGGCGACGTGCCTGAATTTCTACTCAAGACATTTTGTAGGAAAGGTAACCTGAATAGTACTCTAAGGGCCGGTTGCACCAACGTCGCTTATCTTAACCCAGAGCGGCGCTTTCCTTAGCCGGCTTAGCGCCCTAAACCGAGCTTAGGTAAGCACGGGTTTAAATTCCGGTTGCACCAACGTTAAGCCGGCTTTACAGACGAGCCCCTAGCTAAACGCTGGATTTGGGTAGGGAATCTAGGGACAAACAGAGCAAACTAGGGAACGCTGAGAGCGACGAATACGATTGGCGGAGAGGAATCATGCAATGTAAACCAAAAAAAAAAAAAAACAACTGCCGTAGTAGTTGTCGTCGGCGTCTGCTTTTCGCTGTATTTCTTCGGTGAGTAACAAATTAAAGGTCTCCAAATTCAATCATTTTTTCGTTTAACTTTCAATAACAGAAGTCAAAGCTTCAAATAAACACGAATGCTCTTTACATCTGTGATTGTGTGTTTAATATCGGTCGATAAAAGGATATTTTGACAGTGGTAGTAGTTTTCGTGCTCACATTTTGAGGCGAAGGAGCCATCGGGGGCCCCAAAACTCACCGAACGCGAGAAGGACACTCTACTCACTACATCGTTGAAGACAAAACATCATGGATATAAGTAGGCAGGTAAGATGACTACTAAAACCAAGTCAAGCCTGAGACCGATGAAGTTCAAAACAGTGACGAACTCGCCACGGCAGCTGCGAAAATGCCCGGAAATCGTCGAATAGAAGTCGTCGAGAGGTCGGGTCACGAGACCTTGCATCGACGGTACTCGTTGCTATCAGCAAGGTGACAGAACTGCACTGTACCGTCGTTGAACATCCGCTGCAGCCTCAAACGGACTTCAGTTTCACACTGTCGAGTTCAGAAAAAAAAAAAAAAAAACTCCCACTAGTACATCACATCGCGCCGATAAGAACGTTCGTCTCTTCGCATCACCTGCCCTAGCCTGCCCCGATACAGCAATGAACGAATCTAACGTAGTAGTCGTTACGATTTGTCGTCGCCACGAATGAAAGATATAAAGCAAAATATTCCTAAAAAATCGCGATCACCAAAACAGTTACGGAGGACACAACAAGGCGCAACTTTCAACTGAATTTTATTGAAAACGTGTTCCGGTATATAGTCTCAACCATCGTCACAATGACAACAAACGACAAAAGTAAAGGGAAAACACTATCACAGAGCACAACTCGGAAACAACAGTATCTCGTTCTCGGGAAACGAATGAAAGATATAAAGCAACGTATATAAAAAAAAAGGCGATCACCAAAAAAGTTAACAGTTATGGAACGATAGAGCTTTCTGAAGCCAAGATTCTACTCGCGAGATAAGGAAAATTCACTGAAGATTGTCTCAAAACTCAGAAAACGAAAGAAATTGAATTTTCGCTGTTTTATTACTTAAAAGCGCCGCAATCTAATGCAAACGGCAGAGGTGTCGACAATCAGCTGATCGCCGAGATCATGTACTGCCACTATTCAACGCGCTGATCAGATTGAAGGATACGCGCTGCAAGTGTAAATAAACAAGGTGGTAAATAACAATACGTTACGGCTATGCGAAAATTAGTAAGTACATACGAACAAGCTCGTTGACAGAAGAACCAACGGGAATACAGACGTGAGCCCCACAGCTCCGGAAGTTTCTCGGTTAGGGCTAACACGCCCTGAAAGTGGAGAGCCAACTTGAAAGCAGGGGTCGATCAACACTTCACGCGACAATATTTTGCATCCTTGTCACAATCGAAAGTCATTTTGTCGAGACTTTCACGCTGATGTAGCCTAAAACACTTTGCACAACCAATTTCGTCCACCGCGTCGACCGTGACAAACCAGCCGCCATGTTTTTAATCCAGGATTAAGAAACAACCAGAAGCAAAGCGCCCAATGTTGGGCGCTTAAGTTAAGCGTAGTTTAGTGCTAGGTTTAGCGATAAGCGAGTTTGGTGCAACCGAACGAAACCGAAACTAAGCTTAAGTTCCCGGCTAAGCTCCGCTTTGCGCTAAGCGACGTTGGTGCAACCGGCCCTAAATCGTTTATAAAGCTGGTATTTCGTAACTTAAATCTTAAATACTTTTTGCCGTGAACCTTGCCCAACACGGCTCAAAAAACGGCTCAACAGTTTTCACTCCTTGAGCGGCGTACTCGTCGTCTCGTGTACGGACATACAAGCACACAAGAGACTAATCTCTCGCCATGTAACCGCTCATTAAGGGAATGCGTAATTACCTTCCAATTTAGAATCCACTTCAGAACATCTCAGGGCCCTCGGTAAAATCCGGAGCGCCAGTTGAAGAAAACTTTTCAGGAAAACTCCCAGATAACGTTCTGCCCGCGCCCTAATTCTTTCAAACTTGCGTACTCGTCTCAGCAAGAAGCACGAGGAAGAAAACAAATGCTAATTGTGCCGCAGCAAAAAATGACCGTTCCCGCGTTGCCTGCTGTCTTTCTTATTTCTGCTGAGCAAATCATCAACGCCCGCAAAACGCTAATTAATGACACGACATCAGCATGGGTTTATTTCATTACACGATACACGATACATCCTAATTTGGATGAAGCACAGCCAACGCTATGATTCAGGGTAAAAGAAAACCATGTCAACTGTAGTTTTGTTAGCAGCTGCTCTCTTGTACTTTGCTCTCGACTTGTCGTGCGTGTGAACTGTTACTGCAATAATGCTATTTGCGGTAGTCTCGAGAAAGAGCGGGACTATTGAAAGACAGGTGTTTTGTCGATTACGTTATCCTAGGAAGCTAATATGCACTTCGTATACGTCTGTGTGTTTGTGGGCAAAATAAGGGGAGGGGCAATACCATTCGCCAGATGAAAAGAAATGATAAGGTAGAATAGCTGCAGTGTTAGTGTTAGTAGCGAGAATAGCTAGGGAAAGGGAAAAAAGATTGAAATGTGATAAGGCTGCCCTGCGTTTGTGGAATAAGGCGAAGCACGCGAGGTTCGGTTGCGTGGACTGTTCCTGAAAAGTCACGACCTATACTTTTTCAGCGTTTTGGAATAGTACTGCTGAGCCGCCTACGCAATGCGTGTACCGCTTCTTGGGTGACACGGTTGCGTGATTCGAATGAAAACACTAAATCAGGAAGGAAAATTGATACTTTGTTAAGAATTATTCTTCCGTGTGTGTGTTTGTCCGAGTGTAATTCCTAAATTCCCACGACGTACGCTCACAACATACCGGTATCCATGGTGACTGCAGTAGGTGTAGTGTAGTGGATACTCTAACGCAGCGTGTCAATTCTCGGTGTTGTGTTTGGGCTGATTTTCATTTTGCACTGTTACCATTTATGCGCCAACCTTCTTATCGGGACATCCGTGTAGGAAACATGAACTCTAACGTGACGTTTATCAAAGTTTTGTTTTCTATCTTTTTTTTAGCAAGTGTTCGCGTAAACGAGGAGTTTGTTGATAGAATCTGCACAGTGTTTGGCACCATAGATACCGGTAATCTATAACATTCAATGATCTAAGTAAAGAAAACGAGGGTGATATCAAATGCTTTAATCAACGCAACATTCGGGTACGTATTACTATGGAGCCACTTCCCCTCGTAGTTTCCGCACAGTGTTAGGCACTTATCATGACGCGGCACTAGCCTTTGAATGCCCTTCTTAAAGGAGGTTACCGCCTGGGTCCTCGGCCACTCCATCATGCACTCAAACAAGGCCGTCATTCGCCACAGACTTATTTCTCTGGCCCCCATTACGATGGACGTCTTTTCATCTTTCCCAATACTGCCAACGCCATTCCCTCACGAAGCTACCGCTCATCATTTTCCTCCACAGACGTTAGTTTCCGGTGAACTTCAGCAGCGCGTTTTCCCTCCACTCGCAGGAAGCGAATTAAAGAGGGAACCCTGCACTTGGAGGTCTACGTGAATCGCATGCGCCTTGTTTATACACTCACGCACGCCCTCTAGAGAAACAAAACGGTACGAGACGGCCAACTGTATGAGGGAGGGGCACGTAAAACGCCTGAACAATAGTGTGCAGATGGATGTCTCTCCGCTGGCAGGCTCTTTGCAGGTCATCGAAAAATAAAATCAAAAACAGCCGTCTTTTTTTTTTTTTTTTCAGTAATGTGTTAGCGGCGTTCCAGACCATGTTCCTGTCGTTTTATGTTTGCACTGTGCTCCCTTTCGACGTAGTTTGGTCAACGTTGAAAGCTATATACAACCATAGCTAGCTAACCAGAGCGAGGCATGTCAACTCGGAGTGCACTTCTCCTGTACAGAACTGTGGCGTGCTTCGTTTCGTGTTTTAGGGGCGAAGCTTCTTAGGGGCTAGCCATGTCCGTATGTTCGTCCGATGTCCGGCGTCGGGTGATCGTTCTCACGAGCACGTGAGCACGTGCTCCCGTGCTCGTGTAGCGCAAAAAAAAAAAAAAAAAAAAAAAAAACGCATCTCCACGTGGTGAATGATGTTGGTTGGGGCGAAGCTCTGGTGGTGCTTGTCTGCGTAGACGGTGAGCTGCAGCATGCCGAGCCTTTCGTTCGTGTTCATCCATCTCAGAGAGAGAGTGTGTGGTATGGAACGCGGTTATAGGAAGTATTCACTGGCGGCCATAGTTGTGTGCGTGACTGCTGAGCGCGTGCTGATGGCGAGCTTCCACGGTTCTTTTGCAACGTGCATTTCACACCATCAGGATTGCCGGTCTTAGCAGCCTATTAATGTGGGCTTGTTCTGAGCGTGCGCTTTAGGCAGCACCCAGAAATATGGCGCCCAGTGAATACTCCTTATATACGCATTTGAGCATTTGACCGCAGCGTGACATGGATGAAAACGAACGAAAGGCTCGGCATGCTGCGGCTCAGCGTCTCCGCAGACAAGCACCACCAGAGCTTCGCCCCAATCAACATCAGTCGCCACGTGGAGAGCGGTTTTTATTCGGCTCGCGGAGGACGCGTTGCTTTAGCCATTTGCGATGTTCTGGTGAAAAGGAGCGTAGTTCCTATCTTTCGTACAGTCTCAAGTTTGACTTCTGTTACAGGTTTTGTAGTGTTTTTTTTTTAGGTGTTGTTTGGTTACTTTACCTGAAGAACGCGACTGCATGTGACTGGTGTGTTGAGCATCCTTTATATAGAAAGTGATTTTGAAGGTGCAGTAAATGACGTCAGAGGAGCCGCCGTGTCGTGCTGTCGGATGTGGCGGAAATCGGTCATTGAATTTCCGGCAAAAAAAAGTATGAGCGAACGTGATGTGTCGCTGCCGGCGCAGCGTCCCAACTCGTTGCTGCATGCAGCAACTCCCGAAGATTGTCGAGCTGAGAGGGAGCCAGATCAGAAGAGGCGCCTGCCGTGTTCACCTCCGCCGCTGTTCGATCGCCTGGATCGCGACACGTAACAGTATCGCACTTCCATGACGTCATGAAGGCGGAATTCGAGGAACCACATATTAGGACGCTCTGAACACACCAGTCGGAGATGTGATCCAGGCAACATAGTTCAGTCGGAATCCTTCTAACGCTTTTTCTTGAGTGTCTGTCCCTTTCTGTTTCGACAGGGCAACCTGGACGGCTCACTTTCCGAACCGGGACCTCAAGGCGTTCTCGGTGTACCCGCTGCTCGTCTATCCCACGCATTACACGGGGGAGGAGAACTACATCAGCGACACGGAAGACTCCGTGGTCGTCGATGCCCTCGCTGCGGAGGAGGCCAAGGATGATCTGTCGAAAGCAGCGCCTTTGCCGCCTGTGGTCACGAACAAGGACGAACTCTAATTTGCGGCACACTCCTTGTGAACTGATTTTTGTTTTGTTTTTTTGGCAGCTACGTCAGAGTTGTCACATTCGTTTGACAACAGAACGATAACACGCTGCCATTCTTGGGTCCACGCTTTAGTCGAAGTTTAAGCTATTGACACACTCATATATCTTTGACGTCATTCTGCGGCGATGGCACTTTTCAGACGTTGCGCTCGCTAATTGTGGGAATTCAGCTCGCTCTTTCGTTAAAACTTAGCTCTTCGCACATGTGCAGTTACCAGAGTCATCACGTGGCTACTCGCACATTCGTCAGCAGTGACTTGGTTTACGGATCATTTATAGCGACAATGCGTTTTCTTTGCGTGCCGTCAGGGGCCTTCTGTCTAGCGTAGTGATGCCGAGGCAGGAAAACGTTTTAAATACGTAATAAATATGAAATCGTTAAGCTATTCGCCTTCTCAAGAGAAAATATGGCTTTTTTGTATTAATATGTCGAGCTGCTGAATATGTTCTATAGCTACAGCATAGTACACTGATCGAGAGAGCCGTGCCATTTGTACTTTGAGAAAAATGCCGGCTTAATCTTTTTTTCGACTTGTCGGTCCAACTTTTGCCGCTTTGGACAGGAAATCACGGTAATGTTCCAAGTGTACTTTGAAACCCAAATCCCGTAGTTTCCTATCTCGGGCGTGTAACGATGGTTGAAATAATGTTAGGCTCCATATCCCGAATGTCCCGATCCGGCGGTGCCGAGCGACGGCCGTTAAAACTTAATTAACAACATAACAAAGAAGAAATGTGCGCCCCAGGGCGATTCCTTTCTTAATTTGCTTACGCCTATACACTGGAGCAGACGATAAAGCCCCCTGGATATATTATCTTTTTCCCTCGTGATTTATTTTTTAAAGTTATTACTCGTATAATGAAGGAAACATCTTAATTTTTTTTTTATTAGTATCTCGCACTCTGTTTTTTGTATTAGTTAAATTTAGTTTTATTTTTACTACGGCAGTAATCGAAAATTGCTTTCTGCTAATGAAAAAGAGGGTCGTCTTGTAAGTTTTTTTCTTATTATTTTCTTTACAAATTCATCATACCCAGAGGCGACGGGGGCTATGCTGGCTTCCCCCTGACTTGTCGATCAATATGACTGCGGGCGCTGCGGGGCATCCAATGGAGATTTGAGGACTGTGATTGGCTAGAAGATGAAGAAGCGGATAAGCTGGGCGCGCGTGATTGCGTGGCTCTTCTCGAATCAGTGCACTACTGTCCCATTCGTGCAAATGCCGCCGCTGAGCATATCGCATAGGCATTTTTCCAGGCAACGTGTTGAAAGTGACGTCGGACCAAACAAATGTAATTGCTGTCGTCGCTTACCTATAGCGAGGCGATGGACCGACGGCGTCGAGTTGACCGGTGAAACAGCGCCTCGCTATGGTCCTCACTCAACTGCATCCCGCTAATGACAGCTTCGTTCATGTTAAACTCGAGGTATATACGGAGGTGGCTGGCGGTGGGGCCGCGTATTCCAAGTGGCCGGACAAAATAAACGGGATAACGCGGCCCTATCTATAGTTACTCTTATCTGCACCTTTGACAGCTATTTCCTTGGCAGCTTTAACAGTCGACCACTTTTACGCACCGAGTACCTTCGCTCAAATCATGGCAGGCATTTGTTCACTTGTATAGAAAAGGGTTGCGCATGCAGAATGGCGTAAACTGATGCCTTTTGCTTTGATTACCTCTTTTCCTTTTTTTTTTCACATTTCTGGCGTTGCTTTGTAAGATTGTGTCATGGTGTTCCTTATTATACATGTATGTTTTTTTTAGGGCTGGTGTTACTTTCTCTTGAACAAATTTTTTTTTATTTTTCATAATGAACAACAATTCGAGAAGAAGAAAAAACTGCAATCAGCCATTTTGTTTACGACTAGTCTTCAACTGTTTCGGTGTCTGTGCCTCCAACAGCGATCAAGCGAACTCTTATGATAAGCTTTGTAGCGAGCTTTCAGAAGGTTTGGGATTTAATGTCATCGCACAAATCATTAATTGCATACAGCTATTGTCCCTTTTTCTTTTATTTACGTTTAGGGAGTCATGTTGAAGAATCTCGTTTTACGGCATCTCATGTTTGGTGTTTCTCTTGCCGCGTCTCGATTATTTTGTTGTACACGTGCCAAATGATGCTGTATCCTGATTTTGTATTGCAGCTGTATATGATGCCGACAGCTCGTACAATTTTGTTTAATGGTATAAATCTCCGTTTACAAGTCACTTTCATGCCTTCGCCTAAAAAGACTTTAGGTAGGTTAAACAAAATTAACGGAGTCAAATATTTAACAACCAAAGACCTGGCGGTAATTGAGTAGTGTTTTTTCTCTTATAATTATGCTTGATTATAAAGCGTTGCTTTGTGGTCTTTGGGGAAATCCAAACACTGCCAGTGTGTCTGTATGTTTGGTTTTCTAGTTTGTACGCGTGTGTTATCGTCCGATGTTCCTATCGCATTGTGCTAGCCTCCTGCTGTGCATTCACGTAACGACCAACGTGCTGTTTTCATTAAGTTATTCGCAAATGTTTGGAGCACCTACCCTCGCTCTCACTCTGCCTCCCTCCCTCCTTCTCTTGTTACCCTGTGCTCTTGCTGCAAACAGGAAAAAAACTCATTGTGGTCCTATTCTTTTCTTAGGTCATTTAAAAAGGAAGCTTCGCCGTTTCTGTATTTCTTTTGTAGTTTCGTCTGCCCTGGTTCCGTTTCGCGTTTTATGTTTGTCTGCCTGCACTGTTTTATGTGACGAAGATTGCCGGTTGCTAGTTATTTTCACTACAGTTGCTAGTCAGTCTTTAACTCTTTTATTATTGTGTTTGCTTGGGTTTATGTTCCCCTTTATCTTACGTGAGAATAAAATGCGAAATCGAGCGGAAATTGTCCCTCAACGTACGTGGAGTGCATATGTTTACGTGCACTTCGCCTGTAAGCCAAAAAAATACAGGCATGCGGGCCAACTAACTCCATAATACTCAACCCATTTTTTTCTCCTATTTTAGACTTACTATGGACTTTGCCTGTTTAGTTTTTGTACTGCTGCGTTGTATTCAAACTTGTGCGTAACTCAGCTACACCACTCAAGTTACTGCAGTTTCGCTACTCCTCTGAGTGACATTTTTATTTCGGTAATTTGTAGTTTACTCCAAATACTTTTTTCCGAATAACTTTCACTAAAATTTGTGGTAGGGTTGCCTTGCTGCATGCCTATCCGGGAGGAACAACACGACGCCGGGGTTTCCACAAGAATAAATTACATTTATTAAAGTAAAAGCAAAGGGTTGTTAGTACTGAAGCATAACAATGCCGGGCATTCGACCTACGCGTCTCCGTGCCCTCGGTCCGTCTCCGTGGGCATGTCCCCCCTTTTATAGCCTCTCGCGCCTGTCCTTCGTGCGCTGTTGCGCGCCTCAGACGTTGTCCACTCTGGGCGGTCGGCAGCGGCCTCTGGGCTTGGTGGCCGACCCTCGCTCCCACAAATTGCAAATTACTTTTTAAGCTTAGTTGTAGTTGTCTACAAACATTCCCACACAAAAAGAGGTAGATGTCGGAATATTAACCGATATTCGTTAAGGGGAAGACTCGAGCCAAGGAAATCCAGAGAAAAAGCTCTCTCTTCGGGGATCTGTACGCTTTTCCGTCTGTTTCAGTGACGGTTGGAACCGTACACGGAACGCGAAGGTGTGTCTCCAGTGTGTGTTTAAGTGGGGCTGAGTAACCGCGTGATTAGCGCCAGAGACTGGCTTTCTTTTTGTCCCAGAGTACCCGAAGACAAGCATTTAAAAAATTCCAGCCTTTCCACTTTGGTGAAGAAGGAAGACCAGCGAAGCTGTACTATGGTAGGAAGGAAGTAATGGCCGGCCGCAAGTCGGCAAGCCAGAGTGGAAAGTCTGGAAAGGTTGCCACCACCTATGAGCGACGGCGGCAACCAGACAACCGGCAAGCCAGTTGCCTGGTTGCCGCCGTCGCTCATAGATGGTGGTAGCTGTGTTCTGTGTTATCAGGTCATTTGAGGACGGACACGATCCTGGGGAAACTAGCCCTTAACAGCTCCGCTGTAATAAAAAGCGAGCATCTCTCCACCACGCCCGCCAATGGCAGGAGGTGTCACCATTGCACAGTACATCCTTATCCAAAACGGCATCAAATGCAACACCCACTCCAAAGCTCGTCTGGCTCTCCTGGGTGTTTCCACATCAGATCCTACAACGATGCCCCGGGTCATATTCTTATATCTATGTAAAAAATATACCTGAAAGCCAGTTTCTTGGCAAGAGCAGTCAGCTATATACGAACACCTAAGCTAACTTTCTTCCGGATTAGTGAAATTTCGAAGCTCGAGGCATGGATATTGCCATGGTTTCATATGGTAATCTGTACAGCTGTCGATTTCACACCTACACATCCACGTAGTAGTAATTTTCCTACTTATTTCATAAAAGTTTACAACATATTAAAAATTACAATAAAAGTGCATAAAACAAAGCTACGAAACACGTCAAGCAAGCACGTTTTAGCCCGAAATGTATCAAAATGGCCATCTTTAAATGCATTTTACGAACATGGAAAAAAATATATGCTTATCCATTAATGTAGTTGTGGTATTAATGCCGAGGTGCAGCTGGCTTCTCCAAAAATAACAAAACTCCACGTAAAAAAAAAAAAAAAAAATTTTCATCCCTTATATTTTTTTTTGCGCTCTCCTTAATCATTTGCAGTGTCTTGAACTTGTAATGGCAAAACACTGAGTAGCATAATCTCCAAAAGAACAAAAAAGTGGCAACACACCTTCGCTTAAATTGAGCTAACTTGTCTTCGTTTAGGGGCTTTGCCGCATTACGCCGGCTCCAAAAAGACATTTTCTAGAACCGGCAAAGCCTGTAGAGCGGTGCTGCTCTATCCTAGGGTGTTGAAAGCCGTGCTGTCCCTATAGCTTAGCTTAATATTTGTGCTTTATTCCGTTGCCGCCTAACCCCCCCCCCCCCTCCCCCCCAATCCTTGGTCTTTTTGCTTACAAAGGACTCTCGGCGGACGCGTAGACCTGGCAACTGTTGAGAACTGTATGCACAGACCATTACAGTGATGTGATTACTGCGCCCTTTTGCGCCAGACTGCGCCAAAGGACTTACCCTGCTACATCCTGCTACATTTAGCTTAAATGTGAGGAATTGGCGCCAAACTTACGCCAAAACTTGTTTTCCCTTTGTTAACACTGAAAATATAAAGGCCCATACACACATTCGCGCTTTGAACGCGCTTGAGTGCGTTGCGGCGTCCTTGCGGCCAGGAGCGATCACTTGCAGTACGACGCGCGCCGTACCGCAAGGCTCAGTAGCACGACGCGAGAGGGTATAGAGACTCGCTCAACTTTCCAAAGCGTTTGGCGCGTGTGAGAATCGGCCCCGCCATCACCGTGGGTGGACGCGGGAACAGGACCGAGCTTCTTTTTCTTTCCATAGCGTGTTGGCGTTTGCACGTGCGCCCCTGTGTGTGGGTGAACTGGTGACGCTCGTGCGAGCTGGGGCAGGGGACGCTTTGAGAGGAGAAGAAGACAAGGACAGCACGTGCGGTAACCTTTTTGGGACATTCGAAAATGAGCTTCGCTTGTAAATAGACGTGTTCTTTTTTTTTTCTATCCGCGGAGTCCTGTCTGGTTTACTCTTCCGTCAGCGACCATCAGCTGCCTCCGTCGTCGGGTCCCGGCGCAATCTCAAAGAAAGAACATCTTCACTGGCGCAGTCGACAGGATTGCGTCAGCGGACCCCGGCGGCGTGATCTTCACAACGGAATCGGCGGACAGCGACTTGACGCGGCACTGGTGGAGCCTTCTACAGAGAAGACTGGACCACCGAGCTCCTTGAAGATTGGACCACCGAGCTACTTCGTGGTGGCAGAGCTACCTCTGGTCGGATGCCGTCCCACTCCAGCGAGGAACGCTTGAGTCTACAGCTCGGACACCATTTCGTGCCTGACTATTCTGAGCAGCGGGCTGCGTCTGTGATCCAGCGGCAGTCGTTGACCTTACGGTAAGGTGATTCTTTGACGTGTGCCCGCCATGGATACAGACAGCGCAGAGCGGCGGATGCCGGTTCTAACGCCAGAGCAGAATAGGGGTCAGAATAGGGATGTTGACGGGCCAGGTGAATTGTCACCTTTGAGTGGATTAGTGGCAAACTCGCAGACACAAGGGGATGGGAACGGAGGAGTCCGATCATACAGCTCAATTGAAAAGGAGATAGAACTTATAAGGGAGAAAGAACGGCTGTTACGTCTCGAGCTAGAGCTAGAACATCTACGCTCAGAAAACCGAAGGCGAGCCAGTGGAGGCGGCATGGAGTTCAACCTCCGAGATGAAGTTTTTCGCTTTTCGAGATTGATGAAGGGAGTGCTGACTCCCATGCCGTCGTCCGACACATTAGTGCCGAGCTGGTTTGATGGCGTAGAAAACGTCTTCGAGAGATATGAAGTCCCTGAGCGGCTCAGAGGATATCTTGTGCGACCTTATTTCACGGAGAGCATGCGTGCACTAGTGAATAGGCTGAACATGGGTGAAAGAAGTGGGTATGGTGCGGTCAAAGAACGGGTCTTGTTAGAGCTCGGACTGTCTCGAGCTGAGGTCTGGAGGCCCTTTATTGAAACCACCACTTCTCTCAAGGAAAAACGCGAGAGCCCAAGGCAGGGCATCGTACCGGAAAATTATCGGGTGAAGTGTTTTAAATGCAAGGAATTGGGGCACTATTCCCGCGAATGTCCCCGGACGAAGACACCAGAAGAACTTCTGTTTCACAAGAAAAGAGTAGACGCCAAGAATGTCACCGTGGAGGAAGATTCCAGTCGTGAGCCCGACAAGGTGACGACCGAGGTGGGCAAGACCGACGGTACCAACTTGGACAACCAAGATCAGAAGAGGTGGGACCCATCGGTCCGCGAGGTGCCTCAGATTCTGTTACAAGCCGACGACACGAAACGGTCGTTGAAGAACAATCGCTGCTGCGTGTCTGTGCAGGCGGACGTTGACGACAGAAATGAGCTGAACGTCTCTCGTGCCTGGAGGACGTCACAGCGAGCCGAGGATGACCACGACGAGCAGGTGAACGTCGACGACGAAAGGCCGTGCACTTGGCCTGGGCGGCAGGCGTCCCGACGATCTGAGGACGACCCATGTGTGAACTTCGACAACGTCTTGGCCGGTCCCGACATCTTAACCTGGGTTGCACAAGTTCCTACAAGCCAATAACGACGACGTTGAGAACGTGGGCGCCGGTTACAAAGAAGAACCGAGGGTATCTTCTGGGAGGCGGAAATGCCGGCAAGTCAAAGATGACGACGGCGAAAACGTGGACGGCGACGAAGGACCGAACTTATCGTCTGGGCGGCAGGCGTTCCGGCAAGCCGAGGACGACGACGGCGAGAACGTGGACGACGAAGGACCGAACTTATCGCCTGGGCGGCAGGATGACCATGACGAGAACGTGAACGTGGACGACGAAAAAGAACCGGATATTTTTCTTTGTTGGCAGACGTTCTGGCAAGCTGATGACGACCACGGCAAGGAAGTGGGTGTCGACAAGAAGTCGGACATCTTGTTAGGGTGGCTGACGTCACCGCCGGCCGGTGAAGGTGTCAGGGAAAGCGGGGACAGTGACGAGGACACCGTCTTCGAGATGAAGATGTCCCAGATTGTAGCTAAGGACGCCGATGAAGACTCGACCACCTGCCAGCCGGCCACGTATGAGAGAGCTGGGAGTGTAGAAGGCGTCGACAACGGCGACCACCTGCGAGGCCCTTTCCTGATTCGTAAATCAAGACAGAGTATAAACTGTCGTCGCTCTTGCGCGGAGAAATTCCGGAAACAGCTACACACCGTCCGATT